TTAAAAAAAAAAAAAAAAAAAAAAAAAAGATGGGCTGCAGAGAGGAAAAACGTCCCCCGTCGTGGATGTGAAAAACTTTTCTATGCCCAAGGGAAGCCTTTTAAAAACAAAAAAGGACAACACACTCTTCTGATGTTCAAATGAATGGCTGTTTTGTTAGGCACTATGGTTTATATGTCTTCGCACAATATGGGCCACGCGTTACGAAAGGGTTTCTCTACATGCGCGTTTACACGTGCAGACTCTTTGCACGACGGGTGCAGCTGGGGGATGACGGCTACCCTCCGATAGGGTTGCCATACATGCCATTCTTTCTCGATGTTCCTCGTTGATTTCTGTCTCTCAGAGTCAGAGTCGGGCTGGGATCCTGTCTGTAAGAAGCACAGTGGCAGCCACATCTAGGTGTTGCTTTTCCCCCAGTTCCTGACAGCCGTGCATCTCTGGCCTGTTCCCCTTCTCACATCTGACAGCTCAAAGGCTCGAGATTTGCAGTGTTGAGACTTGAGGGAACACAGGACGCAGGAAGAGTGCTTTGGGGTTGTGGGTTGTGGCTATTGCTACTGGAGTGGAACACAACTTTGCGCCCCCCCCACCCCCGCAAAGTATCTCTTGGGCATGCGGATTATTTCGAGCTGAAAACAATCAAGGCCCAAAGACTCAAAGAAGAAACTCTGACCTTCTCACTCATAGCCTAAAAGAATTTAGAGGGAGGAGCTGTTCCTGGGACCCCTATCCTCACCAGAGATGTCTGCCCGTGATATGGGCCACCCGTGGTGGGGAAACAGCAGGCCCTGGAGACCAGGGTCCACCCTGTGTCCCATGGTCTCCGCAGGCTCAGCGAACACTTGTCTACCAACTTTTTCTTTTCCGTCTCCACGTCAACGGCCCTCCTTTACTTTGAAGTCCCAAGCCACTACCCCAACAGGCTCTTTCGCCTTTAGCTGAAGATGATAGCATTTAAGATGAGGGTTTGGACCATTTTGGGGAGTGACTCCGTTTTCCTGGGTCTCTCCCATGTGTCCAGGGGATTCAACCTTCGTGTGACTTTCTCCTGTTCATCTGTCTCATGTCCATTTCATTCTCAGACCAGCCAGAAGAGCCTGGAAGGATAAGGAAAATGTCTTCCTCCCCGACATGGCTTTCTGGAGAAATCATCTGAGCAGGTGCCCATCTTCCTTCCATCATTTAAAATCAAGATGAGTCGTTATCTTTGGGCCGCCCGCCCGCCCTCCTTCTCTGGTCCACATACCGAGGTGTATGGCAAGGATGTTCCGTGCCGTGATGCCTGAACAGAAGCGCACGGTATCCCAAACGCACGAGAGCCTCGCTGTGTTTTGCGGGCGAGCTTAGGACCCAGCAAGGGCTTTGCGGTTCTGACGGGGAGATGTGTTCTAGGGCAGGGGT